TTTGACGATTTACATGTTTTTATGTTGTATGCCAGCCAGAGTCGCTTTGAAATGAGATGGGTGGCAAATGCATTTTATAATAAACAAACAAACCAATTGTTCTTTATGGGGCAATTTTGCCAAAATCCAGAAATAAATCGAGGGCTGCCTCTATCCTAAATGCTTAGACTGTGCATGTTACATTTTCATATGTGGAATAGAAGAATGCAGGTACTCATGTGGCTCCTTGGACAGCAGATAAGCCAACAAGCAGGTACTAGAGCTCATAATCTCAGACATGTCACTTGAAGGGAAAACCACAAAACTGTGTCTTACTTATTTTGGCCATGTCATGCAGGGGAATTCGCTGGAGAAAGCAATTATGTCGAGAGGAGTTAGCGGTAAAAGGAAACCAGGCCGCCAAAGAACACAGTGGCCAGACACCATCAAAGCTGACGCTAGCCAGAGCATTGAAAAACTCAAAGAAGCAGGGCACGATCAGAAGATATGGAGATTATTATTCCTCCATCCTGGTGCTACTTGACCTCTCAGCGGCTTTTGATACCATCGACCATGGTATCTTACTGCGATGTCTCGGGGGGTTGGGGGTGGGGGGCACTGTTTTACAGTGGTTCTTCTCCTACCATTTGGGCCGTATGCAGTTTGTTTGGGCGGGGGGTCAGAGATCCTCCCTGAGGCCCCTCACTTGTGGGGTACCGCAGGGGTCGGTTCTCTCCCCCCTGGTCTTTAACATCTATATGAAGCCGCTGGGTGAGATCATTCGTGGTTTCGGAGTGCGATATCATCAGTACGCTGATGATACCCAACTTTACATCTCCACCCCAGACCAACCCTTTCTGTGATGTCTAAGTGCCTGGAGGAGGTACGGGTCTGGATGGGTAGGAACAGGCTCAGGCTCAACCCCTCCAAGACAGAGTGGCTGTGGATACCGGCGTCCCATGATCTAGATCCCCTATCATTGTTGATGGGAGGGGAGTGTCTTGCTCCCTCGAAAAGGGTTCGTAATCTTGGCGTCCTCCTTGATTCATGGCTGTCTTTAGTGGACCATCTAACGGCCGTGACAAGGGGGGCATTTGCACAGGTTCACCTGGTGCACCAGTTACGCCCTTTTCTAGACAGGGACGCCCTCTGTACGGTCACCCATGCTCTCATTATCTCTCGGTTGGATTACTGCAATGCCCTCTACATGGGGCTGCCCTTGGGGCTCCAACCGCACGAGTAGCCGCACGAGTAGTTATGGGTGCGTCCCACTACTCCCATATAATACCACTATTGCGCGAGCTGCACTGGTTGCCGGTGGTCCTCCGGATCCGCTTCAAGGTGCTGGTACTCACCTATAAAGCCCTTCATGGCATGGGCCCGGGATATTTGCAGGATCACCTCCTACTGGCCTCCCACCACCCAGTGCGCTCACATAGGGCTGCCCTCCTCCGGGTCCCCTTGGCCAGGCAGTGTCGGCGGGTGGTCCCCAGGATGAGGGCGTTCTCTGTGGTCGCACCGACCCTCTGGAATGGGTTGCCCACCAGACTCCGGACAGCCCCCGACCTCCGCACCTTCCGCGCCGACCTAAAGACATGGCTCTTTCAGCAACTTTCCTGATCTGCCATGGATTTTAACTTGAGGATTTGGGGATTTTAATTGGTTTTTAATATTATTTTATTTTATCTATTGTCGGGTTGTTTTATTGTTGTGAGCTGCCCCGAGTCCTATGGGAGAAGGGCGGCATATACATCTGACAAACAAACAAACAAACAAACAAACAAATAAATAAATAAATAAAAATCACCAAGAGTCCAACATGATTGAATGGATAACATCATCATCATCATCATCATCATCATCTCTCATATGAAAGACAAGAGTTTTTTCTCTCTATTCTTTCCTCTCCATTAGTTTTTACTCTCCAGTCCTTTGAAAAGGCATCATTTAATATAATACTGCCCTATTTTTTAAAAAAAAACAACTAAGGAATTTCTTTTTAAAAAGAATTTGAAAACTATGCTAATCGAAAGATGAAGGCACATTCTTGGATGCTACAGTATCATAAATCTGAATTGTCTACTAGGTACCCAAAATAGCCTACACTCGGAGAATTAGCATTTGTTTTTCTCAAGGGATGAGGTTATTTTAAGCAAAATGCTGAATGTGTGTAAAATATTTGCAGCCAGAGAAAAATTCTCCATTGCCACTTCTGCATATACTGCAAAGTAATTTTGATGAAAACCACAAGCACCCACGTATTCAAATGACTCTTAAAATATGCGTGCAACTTCAAATGCCATATATTCCTAGTTAGGATGCCTATTAAGTGTGAAAATTATTAGAAATGGTCCAACATATCATAAATGTTAAGGGAGGTTGGCATAGTGAGAGAGAGAAAATGAGCATGTCTACCACAGAAAATGGCAGCTTTGGGTTCATTTCTGCATTTTTAATAAGAAAACGTTCAAACACTCAGAATGTATTCTTTGGAGGGGGATGTGAAGGGGTCAGCACCATTGTAATCAGGATTATGTATCTTGGGGATCCAGGATGAATTTTCCATAATACCCAGAGCACCATTGCATTGCAGCTATTCAAATTAGTTAAAATTGCATCTTCACGATGACATACAGTTGCTTCCTGAGGATGCAGACTGTCAGTTTTTGAGAAAGTCAGAATCAAGAAACAGTCAACAGCAGAGATTCGTTGTTATAAGATAGAATAACAGAGTCTTGAAAACCTGTCCGAGTGTTTCCTCACCACTTCTTATACCAACCAAAATCAAGGCAAGTTTGATTTAGTTTCTTTCTCATGCTTCCTTCTTTTCCATGAATGAGTGATCTTTTCCTAAATACTCCCTTAAAAGTTCGGTCATTCCTTCATCATTCCTAAATTTATTTATTTATAAATTTATCGGTCGCCCTTCTTACCATCAAGGTAACTTATATACACACACTCAGCATTACAAGACAAGATGATAATGCATTAGATTTTTTGTTCTCATGGATTAGAGAACAAACGAAAAGTATATGATATCATCAATTGAGTAAAAGAATTGAAATGGAAATGGGCTGGTCAAATAGCAAGAACTGATGGCAGTCATAGAATGGATCCCACTTGATAAAGAGCATCCATGAAAGAGACCTAAAACAAGATGGATCGATGAGATCAGCAAGTATTGAAGGCCCAATTGGCAAAAAAAAAAAGCTCAGGACTGTATTGATTGGAAACATGCAGAAGAGGCCTTCATCCTGCAGTGGATAGACAGTGGCTAAAATTATAACACGCACACACATATGTATATACATAGATACATAGACACAGACATACGCACATATGTATTAAAAACATAAATTAATACCTGCAAATGCTATAATCCAATTACAGATGGGGTGGGCGGGGGCAGGGTGGAGGGGAGGTGGGATCTGTTGTTAATCTATCAACCACTTCCATTGTGACGCTTTCCTATATGGGCCCCAAGCTAACTGGTAAAACCAGATCTATAGGCCCTTATGAAAGGTTAGGAGGGTTGGGGCTGATCTCATATCAGAGGCAAGATGTTCCAGAGGGCAGGTGCAATTGACAGAGAAGGCCTTTCTCCTAGACCCTGGAATAATTTATGTTCCTTTAAAGACTTCTGGTACTAGATTTCTTGATTCATAGTTTAAACTGTCCCTATTTTGCTCTCTTTGATAATATTCTGTAGCACTAGCTAGCTATACATGAGCACTAGCTATGATTATGGAACAGATTTCTGATAAATATTTTGACCGTGTTTGCAAAGTGTTATATCTATTAAGAGACCAAGGATTGATATGGATATTGTTACCCTGATGACCTCTTATCATCTGTAGAATCTATAGATCTATAGAAAATCAATTTGCATTTAACGATTGCAGCAAAAATTACTCTGTAAATCAGATCATAATCTTGTAATCTTATTTTGCTTATTGGCACTACACTCAACATTTGGGTATAGAATCTCATCGTATAAGTATTTCATTAATTTCTTTTATAATTTCTTTTTACTGTACGTGTTTATAAATAATTGTAGCTAGATGGGCATGCCAGTTTCTACTCTATTCTTTCCTACTAAAGTTTAGGGGCTTCAATACAATACCTTCTGCCTCTTTTAAATGTGCCTATTTCAAACTCACACACACTCAGCTACTAAGTAAGAATCACAATTTTTCAAGGCTGAGCAGATAATAATAGACAAGGGGTAAAAATGAACATCAACAGAGTCTTTTGGGAAGAAAGTTTGCCTAAGTAATTTTGCTTTCAACAGGAACATGCAGAAAAGTAGTCAAAATCCAGTCCAAAGTTCAGAGAGCCAAGTCAGGTTTATTAGCCAGTCCAAGCTGATTGTTTGACAAGGAATAATGCACTGGAACAGGGAAACAGACACCTGCTTCCAATAGAGAAACATGTCTTTAATTAAGAGAGTTACTCCCTTCCTTGGCAAGGAGCCTCACTGAGCATCTTTGCTCTCCACAGTACACACAGAGTCTGAGGGCTTATGTCAACATCTGACTACACTAGTTGTTCTGATGGTCCCTGTGTTTGATCAGCCTAAGGTGATTCCTGTCTTGGTATCTCATAAGGTTGACATTCCATTGGTTCAGCTAGAGTAGCTTCTTTAGAGCCTGAGTTTGAGCCCTGGGCTATGACAGAATGAATATTTTCATTATACTAAACCCCACCACAGGTTTGTTTCTATCTGGATTTATTGAAAGTGGTGAACGCCAGCTTGGGTAGTCAGTTGTCAATATTCTCAACACCTGGTCAAACTATTTTCATCATCTGATTTTTTTATTAAGTCTGAGAGGGCTACTATGTTATATTTTCTGGCAGACATCCTCATTTTCAGATTTATTTAAAATTTGATATCAATGATCAAAAACATATAGTGTTTTATGGTCTTCAGTCTCCCTGGCCTGGCCTCATAGTCATAGCTGATTCTGTTGCATGGTTTATTTAGACTAAAATAATACTATGTCGTATCTTTCTGTTTCCAGAAAGAGAAAAGGACATTGGATGCTCACTTCAAGCAAGATGTCACTTCTTGTGTCCTACACCAGTTCTTCTTACTTCAATTCTGAGGTACATAAAATAATCACTTGTCCAGTTATTTAGTTTCCTATTTTTGTTGCATCACTGGAAAGTCAGATGGAGCCAGATGATACTTGGTTTTAATGGGAATTACCCCGAAGCCAATTTTGTCAGCTTTAATTGTGATACGTACGACTAATCATTTCTTGTAGATCTTCCTGACTGACAACTAGGATTGCCACATCATCCTTAAATGTTAAATCCATCATTACTAAACCAAATTGTTGTGTAACATTGCCGGTAACCTTTCCATCCAACAATTTTCTCAAAACACAAACCAGGCCTATATTGGTTAAAAGCAGAGGTGGGTTTCAGCAGGTTCTGACCAGTTCTGGAGAACCAGTAGTGAAAATTTTGAGTATTTCGGAGAACCGGTAAATACCATCTCTGACTGGCCCCGCCCCCATCTATTCTCTGCCTCCTGACTCTCAGCTGATCAAGAGGAAATGGGGATTTTGCAGTAACCTTCCCCTGGAGTGGGGAGGGAATAGAGATTTTACAGTATCCTTCCCCTGGAGTAGGGAGAGAATGGAGATTTTACAGTATCCTTCCCCTGGAGTGGGGAAGGAATGGAGATTTTACAGTATCCTTCCCCTGGACTGGGGAGGGAATGGAGATTTTACAGTATCCTTCCCCTGCCACGCCCACAAAGCCACGTCCATGAAGCCATGCCACGCCCACAAAGCCACACCCATAGAACCGGTAGTAAAAAAATTTGAAACCCACCACTGGTTAAAAGTGATAAGATGATGCCACCTTGACAAACACCAGATAAGATGGAGAAATCTTGACTCCAGTCTCCATATGGTCTACTTTGACAGTTTGTAATCTGACAAAGGGCTTGGGTGATTTGGTGTATTTTATGTGGTACCTTGTCTGCCAGAAGCATTGCCAAATGCTGTCATTGTCCACACTATCAGATGCTCCTTTGAAACCAACAAATGGTATGTTTTTCTAATTGGAATTCAAAACCCAGTTCCAGTAGATAGCATTGCAAAGATTTGATTAGTGCATTTAGGTCCATTTTTAAATCCAGCTTGCTTTTCTCTAATACTTCTACCCTTTCCAGACAGGAGTTAATTGACAAATATCATTTCCATAATTTTTATATACCATATTGAGCAAAAAAATATCTCCATGATGACTGCTATAAGAAGGGAGGGGGTGTTGAATGATAACTGTCATTTCCCACCCTTTTGATGAAGTTTTAATTTTTTACATTTTCCTAAATAAAAATTAAAGATCTTGGAACCAAAGATACCAGATAAGTCCTATCTATTGCTGACTTCAGCTCATCTGGACCTGGTGCCTTTAAGCATCTAATGACTTTTAAAGTTTCATCTAGCCTTGATGAGCCTTTGTCTTCACTGTATATTAGCTTTTTTAAACTTATGAATTGTAGTTAATAATACCAGCATCCAGAGTTGCTGGAGCTGGACTGAATTTCTTTGAAATATAGATTTTTTGATCAATTTTTCCCCATGTTTTAATTCTGCCACTTTTTTATTGACATATAATTTCTGATATTGTCTAATTTTATTTTTAACTAAACCAGCCACATTTTTGGCCCTTGATTGGTCTTTGCTAGGTATAATAGGTTTCCTTTGATTTTTTTTTAGCATTTACCTAGTTCTTTGCATGTTTCATGGTATACCCAATCATTTTAACTGCTATACCATAAATAATATTTTTCACTTTAGACTAGTAGGTCTCTAAAATTGTCACCTATGTTCAGATTATTTTCACAATCCTTTTGAAAGTGATTTCTTTCTCAGCAATATTTGAGTACTTCAGGTTGTTTAATTAATTAGGTCATTTAATTCTGTAAGATCTATAACTACTGGTAAATCTATTTATTTTTAGTTTAGCATATGCTAAAGCATGGTGAGTGCTAATACTTACTCCCCCAAAACTTTGACTGTCAGAAACAGAATTTCAAAAATTTGTATCTAAAATCAGTACAGGGTCTATTTAATTTTTTTAGTATCTATGCTGAGTTTTAGAATAGAATAGAATAGAATAGAATAGAATAGAATAGAATAGAATAGAATTTTTTATTGGCCAAGTGTGATTGGACACACAAGGAATTTGTCTTGGTGCATATGCTCTCAGAGTACATAAAAGAAAAGATACGTTCATCAAGAATCATAAGGTACAAAACTAAATGATAGTCATAGGGTACAAATACTCAATCCAGAAAAAATATCAATATAAATCATAAGGATCCAAGCAACAAAGTCATAAGTGGAAGAAGATGGGTGTTGGGAACGATGAGAAGATTAATAGTAGTGCAGACTTCGTAAATGGTTTGACAGTGTTGTGGAATTATTTGTTAAGCAGAGTGATGGCGTTCGGGAAAAAACTGTCCTTGTGTCTAGTTGTTCTGCTGTGCAGTGCTCTACAGTGTCATTTTGAGGGTAGGAGTTGAAACAATTTATGTCCAGGATGCAAGGGGTCTGTAAATATTTTCACAGCCTTCTTTTTGACTCGTGCAGTATACAGGTCCTCAATGGAAGGCAGGTTGGTAGCAATTGTTTTTTTCTTTTATGACTAAAAAGAGTGCTTGCTAATACTAGATCAGATTTAATAGACGTACTATACTGTAATCTCTACTTGCATTTTTGCATAGGTTATATCTGCCCATTCTATTCTATATCTTTACAGTCATTGTAGCCATTTTGGGCATTGAACTCCCCAACTACTGAGTCATTTGGGTTGCTGTGATTTCCGCATCCAGTACTTGACTGAATAGAAGTACTTTGTTTTCTCATTAGAAGCACTATTAATTGGCACATAGCTAGAGATAATAGAAAAATACATAATCTGGCCTTGCAACTATATCACAACTAGGTATATATTCACGGTTTCTAATTTATGACTGTGTTGGCAATATGAATTGATAATGCCTAAAGCTTGTTCACAATAAGTAGATCCAGTTATACAGCTCCAATACAATTTAGAGCTTGACTTCAAAGCTGGTATTTTAATTAAGATGATGCCTCTTTATAATCAAGAGCTAGTTTGGAGTGATGGTTAAGGCACTAGGCTGGAAACCAGGAGACCAGGAGTTCTAGTCTTCCCTCGGACACAAACCCAGCTCAGTGACCTTGGACCAGTCCCTCTCTCTCAGCCCTGGGAAGAAGGAAGCCATGGCAAACCACTTCTGAAGTCTTTCCAAGAAAATTTCAGGGAGTGGTCCAGGCAGTGTCCAGGAGTCAGCACCAACTCAAAGACACCCACAGAAACATCTGAAAACTTGTTGTGACCCAGGCCCACGTAGTTGATATTAAATGCAAAACAGTTCCAAAAAACAGATTTTATTAAAACATCTGAGAATTAACTCATTCTCAGTATATTCTAAATTAAATGAAAGCAAAGTCCTCAGAACACCAGTCTTCAGTTTATCTCTGACCTTGGGTTAATTAGGCAAACTGCCAAAGGCTTTTCTTGGCAACAGTTCAGGAACAGAAGAAATAACTACAGCCAAACAAGAAGCAATTCTCTCAACGGTTGTTTTCCGGCAAAGAGGCCAAGAGCCGTTGCTGGTCTTTTAAGCCTTATGGGAGGGGCCAATCATCTCTTGGCCCTACTCCCAAGTTGTCCTCTCTGCTTTAGTTGCTCCTGCCTTCCGGCAGCTCTTCTCATACGTGCACTAGGAACAGGCTCTTCCTGTTCCTCTGCCTCTCTATTGTCAGCCTCTGGAGGCTCCAAAGTCCGCACATCACTCCCCGATGGTCCTGGCCCCATCTCTGCCTCCGATGCAGAGCCCTCATCCGGGCCTTCCCCAGCCTCCAGGACTGGCCCATGTTCTTCCTCAGCCTCATCGCTGTCCAACTCCGCTGCCAGCTCCGCAGACTGCTGGCGGACCACAACAAAATTGACCAGGCAAAGAAACACTGTTTTGGAAGTGGGAAGTTTGCAGGATATGATTAAAGAAAAGGTCCTAACTTTGAGGGAAGCAGCAGCCAGGAGCTGCAGGAGCCTATTCTGGAGAGAGGGCATTTCTGGCAGTGGCCTACAGGAAATACTATAGTATGGTTGTTCTTGTGTAGAGCAGATTTTTCCATAAACTATTCCACAGAATCCATCAATGATCCACAACTGATATATAGAGGTAATCCTCGATTTACAACCACAATTGGGCCCAAAATTTCTGATGCTAACCAAGACAGTTGTTAAGTGAATTTTGATCCATTTTACGACCTTTCTTGCCACAATTGTTAAGTGAATCACTGCAGTGGTTAAGTTATTAACACAGAGGTTAAGTGAATCTGGCTTCCCCATTGACGTTGCATGTCAGAAAGTTGCCATATGAGTCAGTTGCCAAGCGTCTAGATTTTGATCATGTGACCATGGGGATCCTCCAACAGTCGTAAGTGTGAAAAATGGTCATAAATTACTTTTTTCAATTTGTTGAAACTTCAAACAGTCACTAAATGAACTTTTATAAGATGAGGACTACTTTACCTCATTCCACGCTGTAAAATCAGTAAAATCAGTGGTGGGTTGTCCCTGGTTCGCACCAGTTCTATAGAACCGGTAGTAAAACCAGCGGGAGGCTCCATCCACCAACCCCGACGTCATCAAAATGCTTCTGCGCATGCGCAGAAGAGCCACTTGCGCATGCGAGTGAAGCAAGCACGTGCGTGCAGCCCCGTTAGTAGTAAAGGTAAGTAGAACCCACCCCTGAGTAAAATGAACTGCTTTCTAGTATGTAGGGAATTCCTGAATCTGCCAATACACTGTTCAGAAATGGAGGGCCAGATGGTAGATGAAAGTTTAAATTGGTTGCCTGTTCTCTGTTCCATCACAAATGGATATGTTTTAGTTCAGGGGTGCAAACTCAGGGCCTGGGGGGCTTAGATCTGGCCCACGGGGCTACTCTAGAAACAGCGAAGGACCAGCCCATGGTGCCTCTGCCAGCGAAAACGGAGCTAAGGAGGGCCTTCCCGAGCTCCATTTTCACTGGCAGAGGGTTGCAGGAGGCCATC